CAGGGAGGAGAGCTGGTTGTTGTTGAGGTAGAGGCTCCTCAGGTTGGGCAGCTGGCCCAAGGCGCAGCCGATGCCCGTGAGCCTGTTGGCTTCCAGGTGCAGGGTCCTGAGCTGGAGCAAGCCGTCGAAAAGCCGATTAGGCAAATGGGCGATGTGGTTGTGGCCTAGATTCAACACGCCCAGCCGGAGGAGCGTGGCGAAGGCGCCCGCCTGGATGGTCCAGATGCGATTCCTCCTGAGGTTGAGCTCCTGCAGGGTGCCCAGGTCCCGCAGGGAGTCTCGTCCCACCGCTTCGATGTGGTTTCCCTCCAGCGACAGCGCGGCGAGGTTGGAGAGGTTCCCGAAGGCCTGCGGGACGTAGCGCATGTTGTTGGAGGCCAAGTCGAGGTTTTCCAGGGAGGGCAGGTGGGAAAAGAGCAGCGGGTGGATTTCGAAGATGTTGCAGCGGGACAGGTCGAGGCTGGTGAGGTTTCGCAGCCCGCGGAAGGCGTTGGGGTGCAGGGAGGTGAGGCGCGTGTTGCCGCCGAGGTGCAGCTCCCGCAGCTGCCCCAGAGCCAGGAAGGTTCCCGGCGCCAGGAACGTCAGGCTGTTCCCGTCTAACCAGAGGCGGTGGAGGGAGGTCAGGTTCCCGAAGGCGTTGGGGCTCAGCACGCGCAGGTAGTTGTGCGAGAGGTTCAGGGACACGGTGGAGGCGGCCAGTTCTGCAGGCAGGGCGCTGAGCCCCGCTCGGCCGCAGCGCGTCACCGTGTCGGACACGCATTTGCACACGCGTGGGCACGAAGAGGAGACGTTGGCGCTCAGCGCAGCCTTCGCCGCACAGGTAAATACCAACGTAACAAGGAGGAACATGACCAGCCAGGAGCCAGAGCCCACATCTAATACCTGAGAGGCGCTAGAGAAGGAGGCAAGAAAAAGAGCTCCTACCTTTTGGGTAGCAAAGCAAGGAGAGCTGGGCTGTTTTTAACACACGGAGGTTGAGTTTAGCCGGTTGCATCCGCTGTAGACCAAGGGGGATAAAGCCTTTAGGCGGATAAAAGCTGATTAAGCACCGCTGTGCTGTAAAGAGCATTGCTGGGAGACGGGCAGGATTCTCCGCAGGATTCCCGTGTGCAGCGAGAAACCTTCCCCTGAGTCTGTGGGCTTTAAATGTCCAGGGGCAGCTCCTCCAGGCCAGGCTCTCCGTCTCCTTTGGGAAGGGCTTGGGATCCAGGGAAAGCAGGTGTCCCCACGACAGTAACGGAGCCCACGAGACCACCAGGGCCACGCGGGCATCAGGTCTGATGGTGCCATCAAACAGCCAGCGCCAGCCTTGGGGCTCTAAACATTCATGTCCTTGGGCTGCTGCTTGGTTTTCATCCCACATCTAGGGCATAAAGGAAATCATCCGTTTTCATTTACAAGACCCAGTGTGTATTCACTCTGTCTCTTCCAACCTCTAGGATTCTAGGATTCTGTGATTCCCATGTAGGTATTGCCTCCTGGAAAGGAGCAAGTGACTGGATCTATGAGAGGACATTGCCGAGTCCTCCTCAGATTCCCATGCTCTCCTTGCTCCCTCACTGCCTTCATCCTGTGCGAGGTATGAGGAGCCTCTGGGCTCGTTCATGTACCTGGCAATCAGCAATCTGATTATTTTGCTTATAGCTCCAGAGAAGTAGACCCAGGCCTTGCAGCCCATGTGTCATGAGAGGAACTGCTGGCACAGTTATGGCTCTTGTTTTCCCAGCCTCCCCTTCAACATTCTGTTTTTGCCCTTCATTTCCATATTGGAGATCTCAATTTTTTCATATGTCTGAAGTACCTTCTCCCAGCCCTGACTCTCCTTCAAGTGCATTTCCTTGCTCTTAATTTCTTGTACTACCTCATTATTTTCTTTTAATGTTTTCCAAATTTGGATTTCCTCTTCCTCCTTGTTGCATCTTACCATGGCACTGTCTGCCAGTTCTGCCAACATGCCCTGCACCCAAAGGGAAGTAAGAATTGGACAAGTTTACTTGCAAACCCATTGTTTTCTCTGCAAAAGCAGCTTGGGTTTTCCTGTGCCATTAGATCACTGTATTGGCTTCAACTAGTTCTGTTTTCCTCTTCATTTTTTCAAGCAATGACCCCCTGAAGAATAGCTTCTCCCTGGAAGCTTGGCTGGGACCACAGTGTTGTGTAACGGGGCATCCTGCAGCTGTAAACAACATCATTTATTTAGCTAGACAGGCTTTGCCACGAGGAAACTGGGGCCCAAGCTGTGCTTGTCACCCCGAGAGCAGCAGTGCTGTGGCTTTGGCAGGCGGCAAACTGGTGGCTTGTGTCCTGAGGGTGGCAATGTACAGGATGGGAATGCCGTGTTGGAGCGGCCTTTCCCATGGCTGGTATCTCCACCGCTTCCTGCTGTGTCCAAGCAGAGGACACCAGCTCTCCCTGTCATTGCTCCCGTGTCCCTGCGGAGCAGCCTGGTCTCCACCAGTCCCTGCAGGGATGAGCGAGCTGCTCTGCATCCCCCATCAGGAACAGTCTGTGTCTCTTCTAGCTAAACCTCCAGAGCTTAGCCTGAAGAAGACAGATTGCTTGCTCTCTTGTCATTTTTATCCAAAGCAAGCTTTATTTATAGCCATAAATCCAGCAGCGGTGCCATGTTTCAGCCCAGCTCTGTCACTAATTCTGCTTGGTTTGCAGCTGGTTTCACCCTGGAGACTTCCAGAGACCAAAAGCCTGCGGTTCGCAGAATTTCTTGTTGCCAGATATTGCTCAACATCCCCGAAACGCAGCGGTGCAGCACGAACGCGCAGCTGCTCAGTGTCTTCTTGGTTCAGTATGTCCTGTAGGGCCAAGAGCCTGGAAGTACCAAACCGGTCAGATTTTTACAGCTTATTGTAGGCTTGGCAAGTCCAGCTGCTCCCTGGAGCACGGTCCTGTGGCGGGCAAGAAAGGAAACTCTCATGAAAACTGAATGTGATTCGTGTTGTGCATCAAAAGGAGGTTTCAAGTGCTGGAAACCCTGTGCATCCACTGCAGGAAGAGCCCTGATGCCTGCTGGTTTTCCACCAGGATTGGGCTGAGTGCCACAGATGTCGGAGGCGCTGGGTGCTTTAGTAACAGCGTGCGCAGAACACTTCCCGAGTCACTTTATGCTCTTGTTTCCCTTACTACTTTTAGTAACTTGTAAAATGCTTAAGGCCAATTATTTGAACAAGTGACGTTGCGGCGGATAATCACGGTCTTGGCAGTGCTGTCAGCTCTGCAAAAACAACTTGTAAAGTAAATGCCTTGGAAAACCTCTGCTCTGCGCTGTATGCGGACGGGACATCCCTCTGCCCTGCTCTGCACCCCAGGGTGGAAAACCAGGGATCCCCCATAGCTGCTTCCAGCTGAAATCATGGATCCAGGAAAGAAGGCAAAATAGCTGGGAAATCCCAACAGTTCTGTGTCCTGGTTGCAACATTTGGCTGATAAAGAGACCCACTGTCAAAACTGATGGTGAACAGAGGTCTGTGGGATGCTATGAAGACCCCAGTACACCAAGGCAATGCCTTGGCACCAGCACTCCAGTGGGAGTATAAAAGACATGCATAAAATCCCTCTCTAAATATGTGCATCCCAGAAAACAGCACCTCATTCCAGTTTAACACCCATCGCATCTTTTTGCAGAGAAAAGTCCTAAGCAGAGCAACTGTAAAAAGCCTGAGGATCCTGTTTCTGTGCAACGTCTGCCCCGATGCAGCAAATGCACGGTGGATTTGTTGGATTTAGGAGTCGGGCCCTGGAAACAGGACAAACCAGGGCAATAGCGCAGCAGCAGCGGCGTGCAGCATGAGGAGGCTCGTGCATGGACAGCTTGGGCATCCGTGTTGGCTTCCATTTCCCAGCCATTTTCCATGCTGACAACGTGCCAATGGAAATAGGAGGGGGAAAATATCTGTACATGGTTAACTGGGGCTTTGGAGTGAGAACATGGGATGAGATAGGGAATTGGCACTAGAGTCCGTCAGGGAGAAGGGGATCAGCCCAAGGTGTGACACTTGTCTCACTGCACTGGGTCCATCTCTCCTGCCAGGAGACATGGAAACAACACGAGGATCTGAGCAGCTCCTGAGGCTCTGCCCGAGCAGAGTAGCTACCACAAGCATCCATAAGGCTCAGAAGTGCATCCGGAAGGGAAAACTTCAAATCTAAACAACAGTTTGCGTTTGTTATCATTGCAAAATAAACATTCTCATGCTCTTGACCCTTTTCCCTGCTTAGGGAGCATCCTGGGCATTTGGTGAAGGATGGAGCAGTATCCTTGATGCAGCCATCTGCATGCAAAGCCAGCAGCAAGAGCTCCTGTCTGGGCACGGCTCCTTGCAGTTTCTTAATAAAAAGTTGAAGGCTGCAAGTGGGAGCAGGAACTGCCGTCCTGGGCTGCGTGGAGAGCCCAGGGGTGCTGGCCACCAAGGGATGCGTTAAGGCTAGTGCAGGTCACAGACCCCAGAGCAAGGGCAGGCGCAGGGTCTGCTGCTTCTTTGCACCAGCAACTGCTCTGCAGCAGCCCCCGGGCAAGGCAGCAGCTCAGCCCAAGAGGAGGAGGAGGCCGGGGTGTGTGAGGGAGGAAGGCTGCAGCCGGGGCAGCAGATGGAAAAGCTCAGCCCTGCAAACGGGATGTCAGCCGGAGAGCACGGGCTCTAACCCTGCGCTTCCCCGGAGCCGAGTGATATTGGAGTGAATTTCCTCTTTCTTTCTCTCCTTCTGCTTGTCTCGTTCCTCTCCTGATTTACCGCATGTGCTCACGTGGCCTGGGGAAGGGGGGCTCTCCAACTGCTTTGCTTCCAAAAGGAAAAGACGCTGGCAGGCGTTCACATTTCAGCCCTCGAGTTATGTAGGATAAAGTCTCTCAGCGGGAAAATGGAGCGTGCAAGCGAGCTGGGGGTGATGCTCGCTAGAAGGAAAGCAGAGAAAAGGAGCGAGTAATTCCAGAACTCTGGCCGGGTACAGGTGAGGACTTAAAGGTTTTCTATCTGCTTTGCTTTGTAATAAAATGACTTGTGTCACCATCTCCTGGGAGCAGATACAAAGCTAATGCGTTTGTTATTACTGTGCAGAGGAGGGGAGAAGTTCCTGAGAATATAATGAGCATTAAATATAGCATGGTCCCTCTATTTAGAGTTAAGTCAAATACATAATACTTTGCAATTATTTCTAAAATTTCAGCATCTGTGGTTAAAGTGAGGGGTTCAAGGTATAAGAGTTGAGGGAGAAAGGAGACTCCAGATATTCCTTGGAATCCCTTCCCTTCTCCCCAAATAACCCTTCCTTTGGTTTGAGATCTGTCTAATCATAGCAGGAGGGCTTAGGATCCAGTACATGGGACTTGAAACACGGGCAGAAACGTGCATTCCTATTCTCCTCTTGAATTTTCATTGTGCTGAGACCATATATTCAATTTTATCACGCTATTCAAAGCCGTGTGAGGAGTATTTTGCACGGAGCAGACATTAAGCGATTGTACACTAAACTGTTAATACAGAAAAATACTTCTGAAATGATCAGTTGCCCTCTGTTAAACAAGGGAGCGTTCCTCAACGTTGCTGTCTTTACTTGGTCAAAATTCCTAAAAAAAAGTTTTAGAGTCCCCTGAGAATGCTTAAAAGACAGGCTGGTGCCATAAGGACCTAATTAAAAAGGAATTGCCTTTCCGTTGCTTACAATGAAATATTTGGATATGCTGTCTTTTTTATTAGCTATAAAGTCTGGAAGTTTGAAAAAAGCTTAGCTTCGAGTGCTGAGCAATGGAACAAAGTGACCAAGGACCGTCTTATTTGTGCTGTAAGGTTGCTGTATTTCCCTGTATTGAAGCCAACTCCTGATCTTTCCAAGTGGATGACAAATACCACTGGTAAAACCAGCCCCTGCAAGGATGAGGTAGATGAGCATTTGATGCTTATATCTACATTGAAAAAAAAAATATTTTGCTCTTCTGATTAAAAGCCATTAAGAGGGCAGGAAATGCAGGTTGCTTTGAGAAGAAATTGGTCCATGAGTGATATTGTGCAAAGACTGTTCAGTGTCTGTGTCCAGCCCCATGAATTAAAGAAGTCAAAGCTTGCTTCCTAATAGCCGTATTAAAAGGTTATGTTGGTGCCTATGAAGTGCCAGGAGATCCGAGGGTGTGAAGTGCTTGATCCCTGCTGGCAAGTGCTGCCTCTGCTTTATTTTGACCCCAAAGAATGCTGGAAATAGGCTGAGAAAGCCGAAAAGAAGGATCATGGGGAGCCCAGGTGTTGCCTTTGGGTCTCAGCAGCCCCTTGAGGAATCTGCCCTTCCTGGATGGATAATTTTTCTGCTCTGCTGCCCGCAGAAATTACTAGAGCCCGGGCGCTCGCTGCTCTGCCAGGCTAATTAAACCCTGCCGTGACCTCCCTGGGGCTAGACGTGTCCTGCCAGCAGGACGGAGGGACGCGTGAGCGTCCGCTATTGCAGCCCCCGTTACCAGCATCGTTTTAAGTGATTTTATTGCCTCGGGGCAGTGCGGGGCCAGACCTAAGACACTGTTTGTGTGCGTCTCTAACGCGTGGTTTGTGCTCCGCAGGCGGGACGCGATGGAAGAGCGCTGCTAGCGCGGCGATTCCCAGCGGGACATTCCTTGCTGTCGGTGCCACCATGCGGAGCAACCACTCCCTGGTCCTCAGCGCTGGAGAGACCCTCCAGGTGCCCTACGCAGCGTTGACCAACGCATCGGGGACCCTACACGTGCCACCTCCCTGCCCGCTCACCTCCTCCTCCTACCAATTCTCCTTAATCCCCACACTCTTCTCCGTAGTTTTTGTCCTGGGGTTGGTTGGCAACAGCGTGGTGGTGGCGGTCCTCTGCCGTCAGAGCGGCCCCAAAACGGTTGCAAATATCTACATTTTCAACCTGGCCGTGGCAGACTTGCTGTGCCTTGTCACCCTGCCCTTCTGGGCCGCCTATTATGCACACGGATACAACTGGCTCTTCGGATCTCTCATGTGCAAAATCTCCAGCTCCATCCTGTGCCTGAACATGTTTGCGAGTATATTTTTCATCACCTGCATGAGTTTGGACCGGTACCACGCCATCGTCCACCCTATTCGCTCGCAAAGGAGAACCGTGCAGCAGGCGCACGTCGTAGCGCTGGCCGTGTGGAGCCTGGCCTGCTTCTCCTCCCTCCCGACTTTTTATTTCCGTGACACACACCACGTTAAAAGCTTGGGGGTAAATGCCTGTATCATGGCCTTTCCTCACGAGAATTACGCAAAATGGTCCGTGGGAACAGCCTTCCTGAAGAACGCTCTGGGTTTCTTCATTCCCTTGACGGTGATCACCACATGCTACGTCTGGATCAGGAGGCACTTGCTAAAAGCACGTGAGTTTGGGAAAAACAAGCAGAAAAGAGACAAAGTCTTGAAGCTGGTGGCCGCTGTTGTTGTGGCCTTCTTGTTTTGCTGGCTCCCCTTCCACGTTTTAACGTTTTTGGACGCGCTGGCTCATATGAGCATCATCAACGACTGTGCCGTGACGGGCGTCATCGACGCGGCGCTGCCCTTCGGCATCTGCCTGGCGTTTGCCAACAGCTGCATCAACCCCTTGCTGTACTGCTTTATCGGGAACCAGTTCCAGGAGAAGCTCCACCGCCTGTTCAAAAGCCGCGTTTATCAGTTCAACAGCCAGCGGGAGAGCTCCTCTTTGCGGAAAGGGAGCTGCTTCCGAGATGCCGAAGCCCTGGAGGGCAGTGGAGAGGGGCTGGGGCCTGTGCTGTAGGCACTGGACATGGCACGGGGCCTCTTCTCTACATTTTGTATCCCCTCACCCACCCCATTTTCATTCTCTGTGGGGATTTACTCCTCCTTTCACCAAAGTTTTGCACAAAGGGAGGTTCCTTGTGAATAAGAGTATCGATGGGTTTTAAATATCAGCTTGTGTGTGGCTGAGATTGTATGAGTGTTCGATGCAGCACAAGAAGACAAAGTATATGTACATCTATACATGCATATATACATTTTTGGAATTATATGGCTATAAATAGCATGCAATTACATGCATAGAAATTACATCAGACCTATGTTCTACTTGCTGGGGTCTGGGAAGATCCTGGGAAGATCAAGATATGGGTCTGCCAGGTATTGGAGACAGGAGTGCTGGTGGTGGAGAGCACTGCTAGACACTTCTGTGATTTTGTACCTTTCCCTGAGCATGTAGCAGGTTCCTGGCCAGTTTCCTTTGCTCTGTGCCAGCATGGTCCCTTTTGGCAGCGATGCTCTGGGTAGGAAGCCTGCAAAGCCCCATGGCAGCACACGTAGCGCAGCAGCCTTGGGCAAAAGAACGTGCTGGTTATTGGGACATTTTAGGTTTCGGAGATCCATTTTTACCGCAAAGTCCCTTGGCCCCACGGGCTAAAAGAGGGACCCTTTAACCCCTTGCTTGGCTCTTCTAGGAGCCACCGAAAGGCCTTTGCCTTCAGACTCCCTGGTGTGTTACCCTTGAGCCTTGCCTGGAGATTCCTGGAGCTGCAGGTGGGAAATGACACTCTGCTGGGGAGTATCCGATGAAAAAGTGTCACAGAGCAGGGCAGAATGGGGACTTGACCATGAGTAACCCCCGGCTCCAGCCCAGTCTGGGGGTCTGGAAAGCTGGGGAATAGCTGGATGCTTGTCCCAGAAAGCTGGGGAATAGCTGGATGCTTGTCCCAGAAAGCTGCAGAGGCGCCAACACATCCCCTGTGGCATGTTTGTGTTGAAAATGCTCCGACGGGCTCTAATGGTGTCTGCAGCGTCGGATTATTTCTGGAAAGGCAAATTCTTAATTGCTTAGCAGTGAGCATAACAACGCAGTCAGGCTGCAGCAAAACAAATAATCGCATTAAGAAAATTGCCAGGTATTCCAAGTGGTGGGGTCAGAGGAGGGATGAGAGGCTGCCGAGCCGTGGTGCCTTTTGCTGCCATAGCAATTAGGGCAGTAATGAGTACAATTGTGCCATTAATTGGCACGTGTGTAGGTTGAAAACAGCAGCTGAATTACATGCACAGCATTACCTGACCCTTCGGCTCCCCGTGCTTCAGTGTATCTGTTCAGAGCGTACGCATAGACGGGACGTTTTCTTTAGATTAGGCCAGACTTGCTCAGAAAGAACCTTTTTATCATGCTTTCTTCCTAATGGGCAACTCTGTATAATAGGGAAATATCATGGGAATGGGAAATGCAGCTTCAATTGTATTTACATCTGTAAGCAGCTAAAGAAAACAGGAGAAAATCTTTTGGATGAGAGGGCAGCGATGAGGGATGTCCCTCTACGCCTGCGGGAGGGCAGAGATCCCCCACCAGCTCTCACACACAGGCAGCTGCGCTCACTGTTATCTTCTTGGAACCAGGGAGACAAAAATATATATTAAAAAAGGGAGGCAAAACCGAGAGGGGAGGAAAATTCCTTCCTCAGAAATGCGATTTCACAAGAAATCTATCCAGAAAGTCACGTAAAAAGAGTAAAAATTAATCTGTCGATGGGAGCCACACGTCACTTTTTCTCTTTTTATCACAATGGTCAGAGGATGTTCTCCAGCAGCAACAGCGATTTGGAGCCCCAGACCATTGCTGGGCTTGGCAGAAGGTCTTTCCCAAGAGGGACCCAATACCTGAGCTGCCAGTGCAGGGATTCCCACAAGGATACCATATATCCCTGCCATCCTTTTGCTGCAAATCCCATTTGCAGCTTCCTGTCCCAGCTGTCTTTGGTTCCTATCAGCTTTAATGAACTGCAGAAGCAGCCTGGATCTGAACTGAGCATCCTGTGTGTGACCCTGGGCTGGCTTTAGTAGGTGGCCTCAGCGTATGGAGCAGCGAGTCGCTGGTTTTTATTAGCACGAACAAGTGCTGGATGGTGAGCTCAGTGCCTTGTTTATGTAAGATATACAATAAGAAATGTTTGGTACAGCATGTTCTCCCCGAGAAGTCAACAGAGCCTGAGCCTATCCTGGCGCCAGCTCAGGCAATTCCCCATTGCTCAGGACAGCTTCTGGGCAGCAAAATCCTCCTGTCACTCCACAGCCCACGGCCCTGGACATGGACAAGGAGCTTTGAGAGGCCTCCTGGGAAGGGTGTGCGGATCTCCTATGGCTTTGGTTGGTGAGGTGGCCTCTCTGGAAGGTCTCCAGGGCTGTATGTTCAGTGTCGTGCATTTGCTCCCGACGCAGTGGTCACCTTGATTTTTGGGGGGAATTTCCAGTGAGATACCTGGCTGAGAGCCAAGTGCTGGAATACGAGAAGGAAAAGAGTCAAAACGGAGATTTGCTTATGGACAAGCTGGACTTTCTGAGGGGGTTTGAAGGTGAAGAACTGACTGGCTCTGTTGGACACTTGGCTTGTAGTAGGAAGCTCCCGTCCTTAGTGAATGCCGTCCCCGTGTCCAAGCTCTGAACGTCAGTATTTACGTCTATAAGAGCACACAGATGCTGGCAGGGCTCCTCCAGCTGCAAGAAACCTTCCTGGCTCTGCTGCTGGGAGAAGAGCAGGGCCAGGAGGCTGCAGGCAACTTGTACCAGGGACACTGCAGCCACCTCTGCTGAAATTGAGCCACAGACCTGGCTAAAATGCTCCTGGCCTTGGAATGGAGCGGCCTGGAACGGAGCAGGAGGCAGCCCCTCGGAACCGGCCGTTCCCAGCGCTTCCTTTCCATTTCCCCTTCAGCCGAGCGCAGATCTATGTTCAACACCATAATCTCCGGGTTGGATTCTGCTGATTTCCAGAACATTCCACATGGACAAAACAGATTAAGATAGAAGTGGATGAGGGCCATGAGTGACTTCCCTATTGTGGGATACATCTGAATTTAAGACCCACTGTCCCGTGCTGACAACCAATAGCTCTTCAGTTCACGCAAACGAAAGTTTGCAGAGCAACTGCAAGGCAGGGAGCTCAGGAAGCCAAGATCCAGTGTGAGTTCGAGTTTTAAGAACTGTAAGTTCAACTATTTTATTATTTTTAAAAGAAATCAGAAATTCAACAACAAGAACCCATCTGATGAGCTGCAAATGTGACTTATCCAGCACAGATGCCAAGTCAGCTTGACAGGGAGCTGAAATGGAGCACAGGATGTGGCTGTCTCTGGAAATCACCTCGCTTGCCAAGTGTTGAGAAGCTTTCTTGCAGGAAGGAGACACGGGATAATCACTAAATGCATTAGACCCAGATTTATTGCGGATATAAGTTGCAAATTGTTGAATAAAGTGCGGAAGAGCTTGCATAGACTTACAGCAACGAAATGGAAAGATGTCAAATCCATATAATATATCCACGAGGAAGCAAAAGCCGCCTGCTATTACTGGTGTTTAATCTGTGCTCTAACTGTTCTCCCTGCATTCCCCAGAGGTGCCTCCGAGGCTCTGCTCCATAGCGGTCTGCCCGTGCAAAATGAGCTGCGTCACGTAGGAAATTCGTGTGCAAGGCACACAGCTGTGTCGTGATCGAGCAGAAAAACATGTCAGCTACTGCTGCCTCTTGATAAAATGGAGTGCTTCTCTGTAGTTGGAAAGCAGCTGGAAATCTGTTGCTTCCCAAAACCTTTCTTGGAGAGGATGATCATATGGCAGGCGACTGTTCCAGGTCTTCTTTTCCACTTGCAAGGGAATGTGTTAGTTTTCTTTGCAGATACTGAGCTGCTCTCTTCTGTGCTGATTTGCTCTGATAAGTAATGTGAGAGATTTTATATGTAACGAACTAGACCTTGTGATCCTCATGCTACTAGCACCTTACAATGCAAATACCTTCGCTGATTGCAGTGAGATTTCTTCCATAGTTAAGGGCGGTGCAATTTGGCTTTCTGCAGTCAAATTCCTACTGTTAAGGATTTTAGGGTCGAGGAGTCCCTTTTATCATGAAGTTCTGCATGTCCTGCCTTACTGTGTTAACAGTTTCCCTTAAAGAACGTACAGAACTGGTTCTTCAAAGCATGCGCTTCTTTGGAAGAGGATTCTTCCACGTGCAGTTCAGCATGCAGTGAATATGCTTGACAAAGGTCTATTTAAGAAAGCATTTCCAAACTGCATGGAATTTGTAAGGTAGTCAACACACTTAACGTTAATAGCAGAAAGATTTATTTTTCTTTTGAATCTGTAGTAATAGACCGCTGCAGTTTGGAACACTGTGGGCTTTTATTGCGCAAGTAAATGACACAACCCTGAGTTGTCTCAGGACAAGGCTAGGAACAAGACTCTAGGGTGTGATATTAAATGTACTCTATTAACCGGGGAGAGCTCCAAGGACTTCACTGGCTCCTGGACAGGGGTTTGGCAGCCTTTCTTGTGCTTTTATTTTGATCCCAACCCAAGAAAGGAATTCCCCAAAAGAGCCAGGATTTTTTTTTTCCTTCAGCTCAAAGTCCAGCATGGGTCTGAACTCCAAGACTACTTGTTTGTCAAAGATGCTGAACTGCTGCAGCTGAGATTTGAAGCAACCAGCTCTTTTGGGGATGATGATCAACAGGCAGTTGATGATAACAGATGAGAGTGTCCTGTGCTGAGCTTGCTGTGGGAGCCTGGATTCAGTTCCAGTTCAGTTCAGTTCAGTTGCAGGAGCACTCGGAGCAGCCTTCACACTGAAGGCAGGAGCAGATTTTATCCATACTCAGGGTGGGTGGGAAATGAGGTTGTTATCGATTGCTAAAGAGGGTGCTTGGGTTAAGCAAGATACTTCTAAGGCATTCCATTGGAAAAAAAATATATATATCATGAGAAAAAGTGTCAGATGTCCATGTAGAATTGAACAGGGTG